GTGTGTGGTTCTCATCCTTCAGGGCTGGGACACCGACGGCCCTCCGGCCGCCTTGAACATCATGGCCCAGAGCACGTCCATCCAGAGGATTCAGCGCTTGATCGAGTCGGTGCCCCTCGCCAACCTGCTGCTGACCTTGCTCTCCACGGCTTATCGGAAGGTGGGCGGGGGCCCCTTCCAGATGTCCCTTGGGGGTGGGGGGGGGGGGGGGGGAAAACGACCCTCCCCTCGGTTCTTGAATCTCCCATCGAGAGAAAAGAGATGCGCCACGGTGGGGGGCTTGAAGGGGGAAGACATCAAGTGGGTTTTCCTGGCTTGTTCTCCTCGGTGGGTGTGAATCTGCCCTGGGCTGCAGGAATGGGCCTTATCATGTGGGCCTGGGACGAACCCCACCCAGGGGAGAAGCAGAGTGGCTGCCCTAGATTAGCAAGGAAGGAGGTTGTTTCTAGGCTCTGCTTTTCTAATCGGAGGGGAGGACGGGGGAACGTTAAGCCTTGTTCGCCCTCAGGTCTGAGATTTGCTCCAGGGAGCGGCAGGAAGGTTTGGGGGGAAGATGCTCACTGGCTGGGCTTTTGTAAACCCTCCTCCTTCCCCTTCCCCCCGCCCAACCCCGCTTCCAGGCTTGCGTCCTGCAGAGACAGCGCAAGGGGTCCCTGAGCAGCAACGTCAGCGCCTCCACGGACTCCAACACCTACTACGAAGACGACTTCAGCAGCACGGAAGACAGCAGCCAAGGTTGGGTGGGGGCAGAGGAGGCTTCGGCGGGGAAGGGACGGGGGTCTGCACTGGAGAGAGGGAGGTGCTCGGGGTGGGGTGGGGGTGGGGGTGGGGAAAGGCCCCGAGCCCCGTTCCTGGCCCTTCAACCCTCTGACTTGCCCCTTTCTCAGACGACGACAGCGAGCCCATCCTTGGCCAGTGGTTTGAAGAGACCATCTCCCCCAGCAAGGAGAAGGTGGCCCCTCCTCCCCCTCCTCCCCCACCCCCTCTGGAGAGCTCCCCCCGGGTGAAGAGCCCCAACAAGCAGTCGGCAGGAGAAAACGGGAACCTCCTGGCCAGTCGGAAAGACCCGGAACTGGTGAGCTCTACCCTAGACTCAAATTCTGTCTGCCTTCCCGCTTTTCTTTTTCTTTCTTTCTTTCTTTCTTTCTTTCTTTCTTTCTTTCTTTCTTTCTTTCTTTCTTTCTTTCTTTCTTTCTTTCCTTCCTTCCTTCCTTCCTTCCTTCCTTCCTTCCTTCCTTCCTTCCTTCCTTCTTTCTTTCTTTC